CAAACTTAATAGAATAATGTGTTAAAGGCATTTGCAGGCCATTTATAGCAAAAGTTTATAATTTTTTTCCATCTTGCAGATTGGCAAATATTCAAATGTTTGATGGCACCCCTGCGGTCAATGGAAAGACAGGGTCTCTCATGGACTGTCAGTGCTGATGTAAATGGGTACACAGTTGTGGGAGAACAATCTAGCAATGTGCTATCAATTAAAATGCATAAGCCCCTTTGATCTGGCAATTCCTCTTTCAGGAATTCAATCTTCTGGAAATACACAAGAGTGCAAATATCGATGTGCAAGTACTGTATATTTGTTGCAGTATTGTTTGTAAATGTAAAAATCTGGAAACTACTGAAATCAGTCGGGGTTGGCATCAGTCGGCGTTGGCAAATAAGTTCTGGTATATTCCATGCAATGGAATGTCACACAACACTGAAAATAAAGAAGTGGTTTTCTTCATGCCAAAGTGAAAAGATGTCCAAGACAAAACTTATTTTAAAAAAGTAAGTTGTGATTGTCCTGTATCCTCACTGTGGCGATGATTACGTGACCATATACATTTGTCAAATCTCATAGAACTGTTCACCAAAAAGGGTAATTAAATTCACTTTTAAATAAATACAGTGCACTGTTATTTATTTAAAAAGTGAATTAAAGAGACATTAGAAAAGTAAGTTGGAGAGCAGTTTGCATATGTGATTATTAAAATACATACGTGTACTGTGTATGTATGTGTTTGTGTGTGTAGTATTAATATTTCTAGAAGGAAACACTCAAAACCAAGTGGGTCTGGGAATAGGGCAGGGGGCCTTTTATTTGTACTTTATACCTGACTGAATTGTTTGAGGGTTTTTATTGCAAACATTGAGTATGTATTACTTTTGCAATTGAGGGTTTTTATTGCAAACACTGTATTACTTTTGTAATTGAAGAATATGAAATTAATTAGAAATGAATTTCAAGCCTCTGGGACCAATATACATCCCCTGGTAGGGGGAGGGGATGAGGACGAAAAGGCACTTATCAGGTGTAACACTTTTTTAGGCTAACAGTTAGCCATGGGGGGTTTTCCATCCCTATCAAGTATTTATTAGGAGGGGGACTGTGTCTCCCCATTAAATGGGGGCTGCCTTTCTGTCTTTCTAAGCCAGAGGTCCTAGGAATGGTACAAGGATGTGGGAGAAGGAGAGGACTGGTAACTCCCTGGATGACCCCAGCCAGGGCTGCTAAGTCCCAGGGGATCCCTACCCTCCACTCCTTGCCCAATCAAACACTAGGATTTCCCCAGCCATCAACACCACACTGGGTCACAGAGAGCAACTGAAGTTGGTAAGGTTTCCATGGCAACAGATGAGTCTAAGATCCAGCCCTACATCCATCTAGAGGGCGCATGGAGTGTGTGTGTGTGTGTGTGTGTGTGCACATGTAAGTGTGTTGTATGTGCATGCGTAAAGGAGAATTGGGTTGGGGAAGAAGCCAGGCAGGAGGGAGTGAGAGATGAGCAGAGATGGGTCTGAAGAGCTAGGGAGCATGCAGGAAAGAAGTAAAGGGGAACCAGCCTGTTCAGAGCTCTCACCAAATAAAGCTGCCAGCAGAGGATGCCTGCTGTGTGCCAGGTGCTGGACCGGGCACTGCATCTTTTATCAGCCAATGCCTGGAAGAGTCCTCTACTTAGAGTTGGCTCTCAATAAATGTCTTTTGATGGATGGCAGCTCAATCATGTGCCTAAGCTATTCTCCCCATTTTGTAGATGAGGCATCTGGGGCTCAGAGAGTTGAGTGACATGTTTGAGGAGCAGAGTCAGACAGACTGCAGGGCCGGTTGCCTTCTGATTGCATCAAGTGGTCCCTCAATAAGCACGGAGAAGGGCCTCCAGGGATAAGATGGCCGTGTCCCTACCTTTAGAGAGTGGGCTTATGTGTAAGTGGAGGTAGGGAGGGATGGGGATGGTGGTTGGAAGTGGGAGGGGGCATATAGGGAGAGTGAAAAGGCTGCTTTTATGGAACCACAGCCTTACAAGGACAAATCTACATAAAGCCCATTCTTTTGTTTGTTTGTTTTTTGTTTTGTTTGAGATGGGATCTCTCTCTGTCTCCCAGGCTGGAGTGCAATGGCATCATCCCAGCTCACTGCAACCTCTGCCTCCTGGGCTCAAGTGATCCTCCTCCCTCAGCCTCCTGAGTAGCTGGAATTACAGGCGTGTGCCACCATGCCTGGCTAATATTTGTATTTTTTGTAGAGATAGGACTTTGCCATGTTGCCCAGGCTGGTCTGAAACTCCTGGGCTCAAGCGATCTGCCTGCCTTGGCCTACTAAAATGCTGAGGTTACAGGCATGAGGCACTGCGCCCGGCGAAGCCCATTCTTAATAAATGGATTAAACACAATTTGGTTTAGGACAGTGGTGCTCAACCAGGTGATTTAGCTCCCTAGGGAACTAAAGTGTCTGCAGACATTTTTGGATGTCATGATTGGGGATAGTGTTGTTCCTGGCCTCTAATGAGCAGAGGCCAAGGGATGCTGCCAAACATTCTACAGTGCACAGAATTGCCCCCAGAATTGCCACAGAATTGCCGCACCCGTAATCCCAGAACTTTGGGAGGCCGAGGCAGGTGGATCACCTGAAGCCAGGAGTTCGAGACCAGCCTGGCCAACATGGTGAAACCCCATCTCTACTAAAAATACAAAAATTAGCTGGGCACAGCAGTATGTGCCTGTAATCTCAGTTACTCAGGAGGCTGAGGCAGGAGAATCGCTTGAACCCTGGAGGCAGGTGTTGCAGTGAGCCGAGATTGCGCCATTGCACTCCAGCCTGGGCAACAAGAGCGAAACTCCATTTCAAAAAAGAAAAAAAATTTGCCAGGTGTGGTGGCACATGCCTGTAATCCCAGCTACTTGGGAGGCTGAGGCATGAGAATTGCTTGAATCCAGGAGGTGGAGGTTGCAATGAGCAGAGATGGCACTACTGCACTCCAGCCTGGGCAACAGAGCGCGACTCTGTCTCAACATAACAAACAATCAAACAAATAAACAAAAAATCCTCTCTGCCCTGGGTAAATGTATATGCCCTGGAATTTGTAGGAGGTGCAGTCTAATAGAGGGGGAATAAAAGGCTTTGAAGGCAGAGGGTCCCTCAAAGGTCAGACAGGTTGTAATCCTCTGACTGACTGTGTGACCCTGGATAGGTGCCCTGCCTCTCTGGTTCTCAATATCCACATCTGTACTGAGCCAAGGTGGGCCCCTAAACTCTCTCTTTCCCTAGGGGTGCTATAAAATCAAGTGAAAGACAACATGCAAATGTTCCTTGCCAACTGGGCAGTGTGTGTTCAGGGAATGAGTGAGCTTATTCACTGGTGGGTGTCTTGATTTGGAGTGTGTACTCGGAGATAAGGCAGATGAAGGCCTAGGAAAGGAAAGAGGGAGGGACTCACTTGACAGTGTAAGTTGTGGATGGCCCCGTCACATGGTTGAAGCAGGGGACACAGCTCTCCCCTGCCTGTCGCCTTCCCCAGCTCCTCCCTAACCTGTCCTGCTTGGGTACCTGCAAATCAATCTGCCACCACTGGACATCCAGGCTGGTCTGGTTGGTGAGGTCCTGCAGCCTGGCTTTCCGCAGTGGGTATCTCTTGGCAGCTGGCATGGGGTCACTCGCTGTGGTAGCCCTTGGGTAGGGCTTGTGATTGGTGATCTGGTTGGTGCTATATGCCCTCCGTCGCTGGGAGACGTTCGGATCTGGACAGGGATGGTGATGGGGAACCATCAGAGTGGGACAGCAGGGAAAGAGTGGGGCTTGCGTCCCCCTTTCATATTTGGAAGCATCTCACGTTCTCCACCTCTTGCCTACTGAAATATATGCAGGTGCCTCCCCTGGCATCCAGAGCCTCTCCAAATCTGGCCCTAGTCTAGCTTCCCAGCTGCTCTCCCTGCTGCTTCTTTTAAAAGAAAAGAAGTGGCTGGGTGTGGTGGCTCACACCTGTAATCCCAGCTCTGTGGGAAGCCGAGGTGGGCAGATCATCTGAGGTCAGGAGTTCCAGACCAGCCTGGGCAACATGGCAAAAGCCTGTCTCTACAAAAAATACAAAAATTAGCCAGGTGTGATGGTGTGCGCCTGTAGTCCCAGCTATTTGGGAGGCTGAGGCATGAGAACTGCTTGAATCCAGAAGGTGGAGGTTGTGGTGAATCGAGATCATGCCACTGCACTCCAGACTGGGTGACAGAGTGAGACTCTGCCTCAGGGGAAAAAAAAAAAAAAAAAAAAAAAGGTACAAAGTGGGTCAACCACACTAGATCAGAAGCCAATTGTGTGTGTGCTTTCTAAGTGTCACAGTCTCCACATTGCTGCTCAGGCAGTTTCTGCCTGGAACGTCCTCTCCCTTCCCACCTCTAAGAAGCAGTCCGCTTGTGAAGTCTTTGTTGATATCATCTAGCAGACGTACTCATTTCTCCTGGGATTCCTATAGCTTGTTAAATTTTCTAGGGGTCCCTGGCACCCTGTCACTCTGCTTTCTTTCAGAGATAGTGCCAGATGTATCTCTCACTACATGGAAAGCTCCGGAAGGGCAGGGGACATGTCTGAGTCGTCTTTGCTTCCCACATTGCTCTCAGCCCCTAACCTTAGTAGGGAATCAATAAGTACCCTTTGAATGGAAACTAACACCATAACGAGACTTTGGAGTCAGATAGATCCAGACTCTTTGTCTGTACTCTACCTATTGCTCTATGAGCTTAGCCAAGTTGCTCAAATTCTCCAAGTCTCAATTTCCTCATCTGTAAACTGGGTATAACAGTACTGACCTCTGCAGCTGCTAACTATTCAATGAGGTGGCTTTTACCAAGTACTTAGCACATAGTAAACGCTCAACGTAAGGTAGCAATCATTAGAACCGCAGACCGACCGTGCTTGGTGGTGGAGTTTCTGCTGACTAGCAGGGCATCTTTGGCCTGCCCTAGGAGGAAGGGTGCTCCCGAGTTCTTGGCACAGTCTCCACCTTCCTGTCCGGGTCCGTCGTCCTGAGAGTGGTAGAAGACGGAGCTGCTAGACTCCTGAGAGTGCAGCATGCTGTACCGACGCCTCTTGTCCTGGAGGGAGGAACAGAAAAGAGGGCTAAGAGTGGGGCTAGGTGTCAGGAAGGACTTCCGCAGGGAGCAAGGGGTGTGAGCCGCGGTGGTGGGGTTTTCATTTCTGAAGAAACAGCTCAATAGGAAAGCTTTGTGTTTGTTTAGGGAATTGAGACAAACTTCTGTTCAAGAGATGGTGAATGGAATTATCTTTCAAAACACTTAGGTTGTTTATGTTTTTAATCATTGACTTCATTAAATTTTTTAAATGTAATTCTAAATGCCACTCCTGTCTCCAAATAGGTAACCAAAATTAACAAAATAAACCATCTGTTCCTTCCATTCCATTCTCCCTGATATAAACATACAGTTCACCCTTGATCAACACAAGTTTTAACTGCGTGGGTCCATTTATATGTGGATTTTTTTCAATAAAAGTTACACTGAGCATCGGCTTCTCTTGCCTCTCCTTCCACCTACTCCACTTCTTCTGTTCTGTCACCTCTGAGACAGCAAGACCAACCCCTCCACCTCCACCACTCAACGTCAAGACGATGATGATGAAGACCTTCATGACGATCTACTTCCGCTTAATGAATAGTAAATGTATTTTCTCTTCCTTTTGATTTTCTCAAAGACATTTTATTTTCCCTAGCATACTTTTTTTGTAAGAACACAGAATATAATACATATAACCCACAAAATATGTGTTAATTGACTGTTTATGTTATCAGTAAAGCCTCCAGTCAACAGTAGGCTATTAGCAGTTAAGTTTTTAAAGAGTCAAATGTCATATGTGAAATTTTGACTGCATGGGGGGTCGGTATCCCTAACCTCCACATTGTTCAAGGGTCACCTCTATGTATAAATAACACATCAGCTTTTGGGGGTCATTTTTTGTATTATAAAAACTTTGCCATACTGCTCACACTTATCAGTATCTTGAATTTTGCACTTGAAACATTTTGGAAATTTTGCATTTCAACTATGATTTTGTTTGTTTGTTTAGAGATAGGGTCTCCACACTGCACATAGGCTGGAGTACAGTGACACAGTCAGCTCACTGCAGCCTCCAACTCTTGGGCTCCAGCAATCCTCCCGCCTCAGCTTCCAGAGTAGTTGGGACTACAAGCATATGTCACTACGTCTGGCTAATTTTTTAATTTTTATATTTTGTAGAGAAGTGGTCTCACGAGGTTGCCCAGGCTGGTCTTGAACTCCTGACCTCAAGCCAGGCTCCTTCCTTGGTAATCCCAGCTCCCAAAGTGCTCGGATTACAGGCGTGAGCCATTGTGCCTGGCCTCAACCATTCTTTTTAGCATTTGACTGCACAATATTTTACGATGCCTTATTGTTAAGCATTCAGTTTGTGGCCATTTATTTTTGTCACCATAAAAAATATTACAATAAATCCTTGGAAATAAATCTATTACATCACTTTTATTGTTATGGGATAGACTCCTAGGAGTAGGATTTCTGTGTTGAAAGGTTTATATATCTCTAATTTTTTTTTTTTCTTGGAGACAGTGTCTCGCCACATCCCCTAGGCTGGAGTGCAGTGGCGCAATCTTGGCTCACGGCAACCTCCGCCTCCTGGGTTCAAGTGATTCTCATGCCTCAGCCTCCCGAGTAGCTGGGGTTACAGGTGCCTGATGCCGCACCCGGCTAATTTTTGTATTTTTAGTAGAGACAGGGTTTCACCATATTGGCCAGGCTGGTTTCGAACTCCCGACCTCAGGTAATCCACCTGTCTTGGCTTCCCAAAGTGCTGGAATTACAGGCATGAGCCACCATGCCTGGCCTATCTCTAATTTTATTAGTTATTTCTAGGTTGCTTTCCAGGAGGGCTGTGGAGTTATATTTACACCAACAATATGTGAAGGTCCTCTTTATCCCTACCAGTAGCAGGGCAAACATTGCCAATAGGAGAATGGATTTGATGACTGCGTCCAGGCCCTTCTTGTGGGAGGGTCTGTTGATGAACTGGTGTCTTCTAGACCTCCCAGGAAGGTCTGGACTGTGCAAGGACTTGGTCAGCATTTTGTTTAGCATTTTCTCCCTGTGGCTGAACACTCCATTCTCCACAACACATTAACCATTACCCTGATCACAATTCTGAACACATTTCATAACATTCAAAAATCTGGAGCTTTTCACATAAAGTTCCAATTTCTCCTGAAAAATTAGACACACATTTAACATAGGACTCACATTTCTGCATGACGACACTTTGTTAGGGCTGCATAGGGGCTGCCCAGTTTAGACAGGGTGTGTGCCATCCACTTTGCCATATTCCTCACCACTCCTTATTGCCTTTCCAACTGTGAGTTCAGTGGTAGCTGCTATCCATCACAGCATTGGCCCCTTTTATTTTTACACCAAGTCCATTTCATTCATTCCATACCTGCCCAACTTCTCTAGGCATTGAGTTTGTGACTTCTTTTTTGAAAAACAAAACAAGATGAGAAATCCTTTGGAGAGAGTGGACAGACTCATGGAAGAGGAAAGATAGGTGAGGAAACAGCTTCTTTGGCAATCTCTCACATTTTAGCATGAATTTCACCTCCCTTTCAGAAGTTCTTGGCTTTCCCACTTCTGCCACCACAGACAAGGGAATCATCCATGTAAAGGAATAAAACACAAACTTATCTAAGGAGATATGAGCTTACTAGAGTGTGTGGAGAATGAAATCTGAGTGCATTTGTTCTTGAACTGAAGTGTGCACCATATCACTTAGGGGAGATGATGTAAAATGCAGTTTTCTGGGCTTTATCCTAGGGGATTCTTATTCAACAGACTTGGATGGAAGTTAGGGCGCTGCATTTTGTTTTGTTTTCTTTTAGGATGGAGTCTCGCTCTGTCGCCCAGGCTGGAGTGCAATGGCACGATCTTGGCTCACTCCAAACTCTGCCTCCTGAGTTCAAGTGATTCTCATGCCTCAGCCTCCTGAGTAGCTGGGATTACAGGTGCCTGCCACCATGCCTGGCTAATTTTGTCATATTTTTAGCAGAGAACGGGATTTCACCCTGTTGGCCAGGCTGGTCTCAAGTTCCTGACCTCAAGTGACCTTCCTGCCTCAGCCTCCCAAAGCTCTGCATTTTAAACAAGTTCTTTAAGTGGTTCTACTGCAGGGGCTTTTAAGAACCACATTTTTGAGATGGTGGCATCTACCTTAGCCATGCCACTGTGATTAATGCCTGTGGCCTGGCAACTGTAAACCCACAACTGGGAAAACTGTAAACCCACAACTGTAAACCCAATTCCAATTAGTTTCTAGCTGTCACAAATAGTCTTTCCAGCTAAGGGTGATTTGTAGGCATGGGTTCTGGGCCCCCATGGACCCCTGGAGTTTCTAGGATACTTACAGATCTGGGATTGGAGATGTGCATGGAAGCATCACATACAATGCCATACCCCACCAGCCGTTCTCCAGGGAAGAGGGAGCTGGCGTTGATGGGTGAGACCAGGACCTCAGTGGTCTCAGGGAAGATCCACTCCACAGTCACATCACTCAGGACTGGGGCCATGGCCTTCTTCAAGGATTTGACCATCTGTAGGGCAGGGTCAGAACACAGATTGGGGGATGTGTGAGAAGAGATGTGTACAGAAGATCATGTAAGTATGAGCTTAGTGGGGAGTGGGAGCAGGGAAGAGGGGAGAGCAGGCCTTGGGGTGACTCGCCCAGCAGTGAGCACACCTCTGAGCTTCTTAGATTCCTAGAATGTCAGAGTTGGAGAGCATCTTTGCTGTCATCTTTTCTAAGCTTAGCATTTTTATTTTATTTTATTTTATTTCGAAACAGAGTCTGACTCTGTCACCCAGGCTGGAATGCAGTGGCATAATTTGGCTCACTGCAACCTCCACCTCTTGGGTTCAAGTGATTCTCCTGCCTCAGCCTCCTGAGTAGCTGGGATTACAGGCACCTGCCACCATGCCCGGCTAATTTTTGTATTTTTATTAGAGATGGGGTTCCATCAAATTGGCCAGGCTGGTCTCAAACTCCTGGCCTCAAGTGATCCACTTGCCTATGCCTCCCAAAGTACTGGGATTACAGGTGTGAGCCACTGCACACCTGGCCAGTTTAGCATTTTATAAATGAGAAAATCTGAGGCTCAAAGTAGGGCTGTGAGTAGCCCGAGGGCACACAGGTTTGTGTCAAACCATGGACTGGATAATGATCTTGATCAAGTTCATTTACCTCTCTGGCCCTCAGTTTTCCCTTCTGTTAAAGTAGGAGGGTGTAGTTGAAGGATTATTTGCAATATTGAATTTGAAGTGTCTGCCATGTGGTAGGTGTTCAGTAAATGACGGCTGTGGTCATCACCTAGACTGATTTCCTTGGATGTTCTGTACTGCAAACCTGGAGAAAATGACTTGGGGGTTGTGGCAAGTATAGAGGTGAGCTTTCAAATCTCCCTTCAAGAAAGACCACGCCTTCTTGCTGGAAGAAGTGCAGTTAGGTGACAGCTTCCAGATGCAGCACCCCAGCTTTTGAACCAAGACCATATCTCTCCCTGGAAGCCCCAAGTCAATGATTTAATATGGCAGGGATAGTACAGCCTGGTCATTTCAGCACATCACAGACTTTGATGGGCAACCTTTGCTCCAGAGCTCCCTGCTGGACGGCTGAGACCTTGCCAGGGCATCACAGTCTGAGGCTTTCTTGTCCAGTTCTGCTCCCACTTTCCTTTCACAACTATTGGATCGGACTCTTGGACTGAAGAGTTTTTCTTCCAGTTTCCTTCTCTTCCACCTTTCATAGACACTATCCCCAATAAATGTCTTCACTCTTAATCTCAGCCCTGTCTTTGTTTACTAGACTGATAAGGGGATTTTCTAAGGTTTAGTTTATTTGTGTCAAATGTGCAGGACATGGAAAGAAGACTATAGCCTCCTTTATTTCTGGGTTCTTTAGATTCTTCTGAGCCACCATTTGTCATCATCAGGAATGTGTCCAGATATGGACCTCAAACACAGCTCCAACCCATATAGGTAGCTTTTTCAGGAGCCTCATCCTGTCCAGCAGTGGATGGAGTGTGTGTTCAGTGGCTGGAGACCAGAGGATCTAGCGTCCCGGCATTGCTTCAAGAGTTGCCTGCTCTGTGACTTGCAAGTCTCTGGTTCTCATTGGGGTGCAGTGTGGCCTAGTGAAGAGCTCAGCTTTGGGGTGACATTCCAGTTCCACCACTGAGTTGCCATGTGACTGGTCTGAGCCTCTGAGGTTCCAGCACCAGAAGGGACTGAGTGGGTTCTGCTGCCTACCTTGGGTTGCAGCCGCTCCCCCTCCATCAGGAACTCAGCACTGCCCTTGGACACAGATGCCAGCCCTTTCACCAGTCTGTGGCAGACGTTGGGTCCAATTCCAAAGCTATAGCACCTGGGGGAAGGGGAGAAGAGAGGCTGCTATGTCCTATCCTCTCTACATCTTTGCCTCCTGATGTGGAAAGGGACAGAGCATGGCCCAGCAGGATCTCGGAGCTGGCCCTATCTTCAGGCAGAGGGAGAGGGAGAAAGAAGAGGGGCCATCAGGAAGTACCCACATACATATCCATCAATTCACCCACAGACAGTCCATCAATTCCCACCCAGCACAGAGCGGGAGCAGCCTCTCCCTTGGCTGTGGGATCTCTCCCTAGGCTGCTTTTATGAGTTGTGTGCAGAGGTATGGGTAGCTCACCCATTCTGAACTTGAGAGGGAAAAAGATGAACTTTGAAATCAGCCCACACTATCTTGGAAGCAAAGCCCTGTGGGAATTGTGGGTCCTGTCCTCTCCCTGCGGCATTTTCCACATTGCCCTTCGGCTGTGGTGCCCCAGCCCCAGCAGCTTGGAGTCACCGAGCCTAGACCCTCAGCCAAGGCCCACCTGGTGGAGAAGGCGTGATTTCGCAGCAGCTCCAGTACCTTCCCCGTGTTGTTGACAGCGCCATCTGTGATCAGGAAGAGGAGTCGCGGGTGGCCTCGGTGCACTGGCTGCCTGATGATCCACTTGAGAGGGGAAAGGATGTTGGTCCCACCCATGTCGGCCCTCATTCTCTGGATGTCATCACAGGCCATGGCCAAGCTCTCCTGCAGAGAAGCAGGCAGTCCCCAGGGTCACCGTATGGCACAGAGACTCTAGACCACCTAAGGAAGAGGCCTTTGTTTCCCTAGATCTTCTTTTAGGCTCACCAGAGTTGACCAATGCTCCCACTTTCATCCCTGCCCACACTCACAGGAAGAATGGGTGACCACTCATTTGGTGTCATTCTGCTCAACAGCACCCCCTACCAATGCCTGAAACACCAACCAGTTGTCCTTTCTGGGTTCTCCTTTAAAAATAGAAGCACTCCTGGAAGAGGTAGCACATTAAACCCCTGATTCCTTGGCATACATGAGGTTTCTTTTTCTGATGAGGGAGGCGGGTTGTGTGATGGAAAGAACACTGGACTAGGAATCTTAAGATCTGAGTCCAGAGACTGACTCTGGCACCAGCCCCCGTGACATTTTGAGAAAATCATTTCTCTAATCCAGGCTTCAAATTTCCTTGCTCTGGACCAACTGTGTGGGTCCCAACTGGCCAAGGATGGATGTTATTTGCAGCAAGAGTAGATTCCCACTGGATACAGTGACCTCCTCCTCCTGGCTCAGGGGAATGCTGTTTCAACATCCACTCTTGGACGGGCCTTAGAAGTAACAGCATGTTTGGGAAGCCAAGGCGGGTGGATCACTTGAGGTCAGGAATTCGAGACCAGCCTGGCCAAAATGGTGAAACCCCATCTCTATTAAAAATACAAAAATTAGCTAGGTGTGGGGGTGCATGCCTGTAATCCTAGCTACTTGGGAGGCTGAGGCAGGAGAATCGCTTGAACCTGAGAGGCAGAGGTTGCAGTGAGCCAAGATCAAGATCGTACCACTGCAATCCAGCCTGGGTGACAGAGTAAGAGAGATGAGAGACTCCATCTCCAAAAAAAAAAAAAAAAAAAAAAAAGAGAGAGAGAAAAGAAAAAAGAAAAGCAGTAACGGCATGTATCAAAAGTCTTAAGATGTACGTGTAGCTTTTGAACCCGCAAGGCTAGGAATTAATTCTAAGGGAATAATTAAAGATGCATGCAAAATCTGTGATACAAAGATGACTAAATAAAATGGGAAGAACTTTAATGCTTGACTGCAGGGGTTTTGTTAAATAAGTCCCAATCTATCTGTGTAGTGAAATACTAGGAAGCCATTAGAGTTACATTACAGATTAATACTTACTGGCATGGAAATATATTCATGATAGACTGCTACATTAGAAAAGTAGGTTACAGAACAGTATGGAAGGCCTAATCCTATCTTTATTGAAAATGTGTGTAAACGCATAGAACAAGGGCTGGAAGGATTTATACTAAGCTCTTAGCAGTGTCTTTTCTTCCTTTTTTCCTGACTGACATAATCACGGGAGATTTTTAAACACATTTTGTTTTTGATATCTACATTTAAAAATTGTGGAGTGATCAATACATATTATTCTTTTGTTGTTATCATTGTAGAAATGAGGTCTCACTCTGCTGCCCAGGCTGGACTCAAAGCTCCTACGTTCAAGTGACCTTCCCACCTCAACCTCCCGAGTAGCTGAGATTACAAGCGCATGCAACATATATTATTCTTGTATTTTTAAAACTCATAACATTATTTTTAGTTGAAAAGTGTCCCATTTGTCTGTCCTTCCTCCCTCCTTTCCTTCCTTCCTCCCTCCCTCTCTTCCTCTTCTTAGATCTGGGTAGGATGCTGCAATTTTGAACATGCTGCTGGGGCCACAGCCTTCTTGTTTCACACAGTATCTTGAGCCTTGTGAATTCCATTCTTAGCCCACTGCCACGCCCACTCATCCACCTATTCACTCCCCTACTCCTTATCATCTGCTTCCTTAGCTCAACCTTGCACGCATCCGTCATCCTTGTGAAACGGAGGCTTCAGTGAGTGGCAGGCCTGGGCTATGTCCTCTCTCTACCCACTTTCTGTACCTCATCTCTGCACACACACACACTTTGCCCAAAATATTGTGTGATTCTAAAGAGGGGGGGATGTCAGAAGTCTGAGATGTCAGAAAAATGTCCAAACAGAGATAGCTTCTCTTTAGTTCTCTGCCCCCGGGTGTGATCTGGGTTCTCTGTGGGTGGGCAGCTTCTGAGGCCAGCACTAGGGTTTTAACGATTTTTTCCCCTTTCGCTCCTTTCCTCTGCTCCCCACCATGCACCACCCTCCTGGTCCCAGCCTTGCCCCCTCATTACCTCACTGTAGGTCTGGCTGGAAGGAAAAAGGCTCTTAAATGTAGATCCAAACCCAATGATATTGAAGAGGCAGGCTGGCATGAGGCTCTTAAGGGCCACCAACATGGCGTCCTGGCAGGAGAGAAAGTGGTTTTCAGGATTCGGGAAGGAGTTCTTGTCATTCAACCACCACACTCCAATATTCTCTTTCCCAGCACAGGAGCGGCCTCCAAACAGGCATTTACCCTCCTCTGTCTGCACCCAGCAACTCCTTATCCCTCACATCAAGAAATTTGCTGACACTGACCAGAGGCTGGACCAAAGCCACCACCACCACCACCACCACCATTATTGTCATTATCATCATCATCGTCAAACTTATCCATGTAGCAGGTCTGACTTCTTAAAGCCTTTCTATTATGACTTTCCAGTTCCATTTAACCTCTTGCTGATCCTGAGAGGTGGGGAGAGCAGGGAGCACCCTCTCCCTGCTGTCAAAGCAGAATTGATGTCTAAGGGAGGAAAGTGGCCTGGTCCAGGTCACACTGTTGATGGAATGGCTTCTGGCCCTCCTGTGGGACCTTCTGCATCAGACTCAACCTAACCATCACTAACTAAGGACACATCCTCAGGGGCAGTCTCTTCAGCTCATATTTGTCAGGTACACAGGAGGTACTTTACATGCATCACCTCACTGATCTTCACCATAACCTTTCGAGGCAGGTATGCTATTATCCCTATTTTATAGAAGAGAAGATTGAGGCACAGAGAGATGAAGTAACATGTTGGTGAGCATCCAGTGGGTAAATAATGGAGTCAGGACTCAAAGCTATGTCACGTTGCCTCCAAAGTCTATGGACACTAAACATAACCCATGTAACTATGCCCCACCAGGAGACCTTGATAAAGGTAGATTGAAAAAAATAGTGACAATGAAGGAAGTGGAGGTGATGGTAGAAGCAAAATAAATGATGATGATGATGATGATGATGATGGTGGTGATGATGGTTATGATACAATGCAATCACAAATATCAAGCAATTACTATGTGCTAAACATTCTAAGTTATGTCACCCCCCTCAGCCTCAGCCTGGTGCATAGTAAACATTCAGTAAATGGTTATCATTATCAACCCAATGAGATCTATATTAATATTAATAACCCTATTTTACAGATGAGGAAACTGAGGCTCAGGAGAACTAAAGAATTACACTGGGTTGCAAAACCTAAGACTAATGACTGAGGCTTTAAAAATACAGCTCTGGCTGGGCACAGTGGCTGATGCCTGTAATCCCAGCACTTTGGGAGGTGGAGGCAGGCAGATCATGAGGTCAGGAGTTTGAGACCAGCCTGACCAATATGGTGAAACCCTGTCTCTACTAAAAACACAAAAATTAGCCAGGCGTGGTGGTGCGCACCTGTAATCCCAGCTACTCAGGAGGTTAAAACAGGAGAATCGCTTGAACCTGGGAGGCGGAGGCTGCAGTGAGCCGAGATCATGCCACTGTGCTCCAGCCTGGGCAATAGAGCGAGACTCGTCTCAAAAAAAAAACCAAAAAAAAAAAAACCGAAACAAAAAAAACACAGCTTTGAGATTTTTATTCATGTCAGCTCTGCCTTGGCAGAGGAATGAAGGTCTGTCTGCCCCTCACCTCCATGTCCCCCATCTTGTTTATTGATAGTACCCCAGGGATCTCAGCATGGCTTCAGGGAAGCCATCATCCTTCAGGATCTAGAAGAAAATTGGATTCTGGCAAATTTTACACCACGTAGATTTCCAGGCTCCACATACTCACACCCCAGTCCCATCCCCCACCCTGTAAACATTAACATTAAACATTAACATTAACATTCTCTCGATCTCTTTTCATTGCTTGCCTCAATACATTTGGTTTCTCTACAAAAGAAGTCAATGTCTGCTTATTTTTTCATTAGTCACTAATGCATATTCCTGCTAGGAGGAGATTCTGCTGATCCATACAGATTGTCTCTGCTCACACCTATTAGAATTTTTAAAGCCATGTTTTTGGCAGCAAGCGGCAGTTGAAGAATGAGACCAGCTGCAGGAAATTAAATTGGCTGGACTTTCCCCTTTGGCATAGGCTGTTTGGATTTCTATTTTCTCCCTCCCCCCGAGCCTAGATTTTCCTAAAACTTCAACCCAATGGGTCACAATTAAGGACCCAAGCAACCTTCCAGTGGCCTTATTGTCAGTGGGGAAAGGGGTGGGTATCCTGAGTAATTTCTGTGCCTTTCTCTAAAAGGGTCATGTTTAGCATGGATGGCACCAATGCAAAGCCATTTGTGAAGGCATGACCTTGAGCTCAGTGAGCTGAACTGGAGAAGGGCAGGAGAGATTCCAAGGAGAAAGAGGACTGAAAGGAGAGCCAGAGAAAGTTATTGTCAGAGAATTCCGGAATGCAAAGATTGGACAGGCTTTCAGCCCAGGAAGTGGATTTCCATTTATGAACTAATTCCATTTAACTGGTAGTAACTGCCTGGAACACTGGGATGACAAGGATATAGACTGAGTCCAGGCTCAGCAGGAAAAAAATTGTCATGACCAATTATTGAATTGATGGGGAGAGGGGAGCCAAGGGACATGTGACATACATTCACTCTGCCTGAATTGATCCTTCTCACTCTACAGAAAGGACGAATGAAGCCCAGAGTTGAGAATCAACTTGTCCACAGCCAAGGAGCAAATCAGTGGCAGGATTGACCTTGGAACCCAGGTGTTGCTTTTGGCACAATGCCATGCAGCAGAGATGATATCATCAGAGAAGAGAATTTTTTAGTGGAAGAGTATGCATAATTCTCCATAAGCAGTGTAAGGAAAATGAGCTCTGAAGCAAGATATAGAAGGCCCAGGCTCTCTCATTAACCCTGTGATGCTGGGAAAAGCACTTAGCCTCTTGACAACTCAATTTCTTTACCTGGAAAGTGGAGGGAAAATGGATTAAATGCTCCCTAAGGCATGTTTTAGGTTTATGCTTCTGTGATGCTCTAGGGTAGCTGAGACATCTTATGAATTGATATAGGTGCAGAAGGGGATACAGATGGCCACAAAGGCCTGGAGCGTGCTTCAGCACTCCAGCACCGAGGACAGCTTCTCATTCCAATGTTTGCCTTTGATGGTGGGCAGGTTGGGGAAGAAGGTGTCAATCAGCCCTACACCCAAGTTCCAAACAGGAACTTGGGTCCTGTGTATGACTCCTCTGTCATACTTCAAGACAACTGTAGCAAACCCGTGAGGATACCTGGCATCCCAGATCCTGCCCAACCCTCCTCTCCTTGCTGAGCTTGCTGTCCTGGAAACAAGAGCTTGCTCTGGGAACAAACTAGGGGGAAAGATGAAATTTCAGGTGATGGCAGAACCCCTCTCTGTTCTTGCCCCCTCCTTCCTTGTTTTCCTGACCTCAGTTATCCTTTACCTGGATCAATAAAGAGATGGAAGGCTTTTCATGCATAAACACAGAGCTAGGCGCCATGGAAAAAGAGAGGTGAGAGGATAGATGACCCTTTTCCTAAATGAGTTCATAACTCCAGAGAGACAGACATCTGCACAATCAAAAATACAAGGGAGTCTTGTAAAATGCCACAGTCTAGACCGGTAATCTCCTGGGGGTAGGGCAGGGGCAGGTGAAATGCATCTGGATTGTCGGGGGGAGGGTTCTATCACCATTGCTTCCACTCTCCTGAGGAGCTCTCCTTAGCAGGGAGACAAAGCTCCCATGTATTCTGATTGGCTAGCAGACCTGTGCCTCTCTCTTGACTGTCAGCTCCTTGAGGACAGCAAATGTGTTTACATTCTGCTGTTTTTCCAGATGGCCAAGGGCAAGGCTTGGCACCTATTAGGCACTTGAAAAAAAGAGAAACCAAGTCTTTTCTACCAAATTCTATACATTCCTTGATGGCAGGGGCCATGTCCACTGAAGCTCTGATGTCAGGTGGTGGGAACAGTCAGGTGGACATGGGTTTAATTTTAGACCACACTGGCCATGTGACCTTGGGCAGGTGACTGAAACTCTCAAGATCAGCTTTCCTATATGGAAAATGGCAAAAATAGGATCAAACGCATAGGATTATCGTCTGGATTAGATACCAAGCTTCGCATTAAGTGGCTAGCACCATATCCAACACATAGCAGACCCTCAGCAAATGTTACTTCCCTTTCTCTCTTCTCCGTACCCTGCTCCACTCAGTACCTGCCGGGGTGTTTTAGCTAAAGTTTGTAGAATGCAAAGGACAGCTATGGATGACTCCATCCCTTGTAAATGGATGCCAGCTCTGCCTCTGCTCACACTACTTCACGTTTTTTTGGAGATGCAAATGGAGTTTGGGTGTTTCCGTTTAAACTGATTTTTTTTTTTTTTTTTTTTTTTTTGAGGCGGAGTCTCGCGCTGTGGCCCGGGCTGGAGTGCAGTGGCCGGATCTCAGCTCACTGCAACCTCCGCCTCCGGGGTTTGCGCCATTCTCCTGCCTCAGCCTCCCGAGTAGCTGGGACTACAGGCGCCCGCCACCTCGCCCGGCTAGTTTTTTGTATTTTTTAGTAGAGACGGGGTTTCACCGTGTTAGCCAAGATGGTCTCGATCTCCTGACCTCATGATCCGCCCGTCTCGGCCTCCCAAAGTGCTGGGATTACAGGCTTGAGCCACCGCGCCCGGCCCTAAACTGATTTTTAAAAGTTGTTTCTTGGAACAGAAAGTGCTGAGGAAGCTGGGTTGGGGGCGCACAGCTGATTTTCCCTGGAGCCCTGGGCCCTGGGAAGGGGTCCTCTCAGCAGGTACCTTGACTCGGTGCATGCTGATCCCGCTCATGCTGCTGCTCCTGTCAATGAGGAAGATGAACTCCCCGTGGGCCTTTCTCAGGCACGGCTGGACTGACTGGAGGTCGGGACAGAAGTTGAGCATGATGACGGAGTGGTGGGGAATGTCTTTGTGGAGGCGTTTGCGAATGATTTCTGTCTGGAGAAGAAAGGAACACTCTGATTGGGCAATCGGGGGTCAAGAGGTACTCCTGGGGACTCATCCTGGTCCCCATCACTCACCGTGCACCCACATCCTGCTCAGGCTCTGCACAGAAGACTTTCGGGCTGACTGTGCTCAGCTTCTCTGTTTGCTAGACCTTCACGGGTTGCAACAGCAAGCATGGACTTTGCAGACAGAAAGACTTGGGTTTGAATCCCTGCTCTGTCACCATCCTACTGTGTGACATGGGGGCGAGCCCCTCCCCTGGGTCTATTTACCCATTTGTCAAATGGGGCGAATAATGTCCGCTTCTCAGGGTGGTTGTGAGGATGAACTGAGTCAGCACAGACGCGAGAAGCCCCTTGGTTGAGTAATGGTCTCTCGCTTTTATACTCAGTGTGTAAACTGCGCTCTGCCTCCTCTTGGTTGTGAACTGGGTTTCCCTAGTTTACCGATTCTCTCCCATTGTTAAATTCCTACTCACTCTTCAAATTCTACCCGCTTGGAAAGTCTTCCCCAATTTCCAGGTGGACTTAATTACTTAGTTTCCTCATCCATGAAATGAGGACAAGAAGACATACCTCACTGAGTTGTTGCATGGGTTCAGTGCATTTGGGAAGCTGGCTGCCTGGCAGAGAGCAATGGTCTCTAAACAGCAGCCATCATTGCCACTGCTGGTGCTGCTGTTGTTGGTCCTGGAGGCCCAGGCACTTCTCACTCATGTTGAATACAGTTTTTTGCTCCGATCTCTGCCTCCCGCCAACTTGTTTGCTATTATACTTGAAGGCAGGTCATCTCTTAGCTTCTTTTACATCTCCAGAATTTAACATAGGGCCTGGTCCAGAGATGGATCAGTAAAGATTAAGGGAAGGACAGTGCCTTGGTGTTTATCTTTTTATGTGGCCTCCTAGCTGGCCCTGAGGCCAGGACCCTTCCCCTTGCTTCTCCCCCTCCCCTTCCCACAGAATCTCATTTCCTTTGTTCTCACACTGCTTTCACTCTCCACCCCGACTTTCTCTCTCTGTCTCCTTATCTGGCTGTCTCTGTGTGTACACGTGTCTCTGTGTCTGTTTCTCAGTTTCTGTCTATTTGGGTTCCTTCCCCATCTCAATAGATGACATCACCACCCACCCAGTTGTTCAAACCAAACGCCTAACAGTTGTCCTCGGTTCCCCTCTTTTCCTCACTCCACACATTCCATCCTGCAGCAAAGCATTGCCAGTCCTGCTGCTAAGATGCAGCCTGAATGCGTCCATGTCTCTCTGTCTCCACTGCTACTGCCCATGTTCAGGAGAGGACTGTCTCTGTCTCTGGACCTTTGCAATAGTCTCCTCCTGCTCTCTTTGTCCAACTTTTATCTCCCTGTGGTCCACTCTGCAGAGAGCAGCCAGAGTGACTGTTCTTGTCATTCTCTTGCTCAAACAGTGCCCTCCCCGAATACTCTAAACCATGGTTTAGGAAGCCCCCTGTGGGCTCACCCCTGCCTACCTGTCCACCTCCTCTCTACCCACTCTGCTCCCTACATTTCAGCTGCACTGACCTTCTTCCTGTTTTCCAAACAGGTCACCATTGTTCTGCTTCCTGCTCTTTCATCCCTTGTGCCCTCTCCATCCATTCCTCCCACGGTGGGCTCTTGGTCATCTGCCAGGTCTCATCCTCAGACAGGCTTTTGCTGATACCCAGCTAAAGAACACCCAGCACCTATAACTTGTGGTCATATCACCCCTCTTGATTTGCTTTTTCATTTTTATTTTTTGAGACAGAGTCTCGCTCTGCCACCCGGCTGGAGTGCAGTGGCACTATCTCGGCTCACTGCAACCTCCGACTCCCTGGTTCAAGCGATTCTCCTGCCTCAGCCTCCCGAGTAGCTGGGATGACAGGCATGCACCACCACGCCTAGTTAATTTTTGTAGAGACGGGATTTCACCATGTTGGCCAGGATGGTCTTGATCTCCTGACCTCGTGGTCCGCCTGCCTCGGCCTCCCAGAACGCGGCGATTACAGGGGTGAGCCACCGCGCGTGGCTTGATTTGTTTTTTTTCCTCAGTCTTTCCATCCCAGAATACAAGCTCCATGAAGATAAAGACTGTGTCATTCTCAGTATTGCCCCCCTAAGATTTATTTGTTGAATGAATAAGTGAGGGAATTAATCTGTGTGGGCCTTTTTGCCTGCCACTGATCTGTGTGTGCATCTTTTCTTTTTTTTTTTTCCCTTCAGCCTCTGTTTCTCTTGGCATCTCTGTCTCTTGCGCGTGGTGTGTCCTTCTATGTGATTTGCCCTCTCCTTGCTAAACCAGGGTTTCTGACAGCTTGTCCCACCCACTCTTCCTGATTGATGTTCACCCTGTGGATACCCGCAACCCACTCTTCTCCCTGCCAAGGGAACTGGCTCGCTCTCTCCCACGTGAAGCCCCTCCACCAGAGGCCACAGCCCAGACTGGCTCTTTTGATGACAGAGCCCAAGGCAGCAGCAACCACATCTGTCAGTGAGAGAAGCCACCTCCAGAAACCTTATCTTCCTCTCAGAGGGACGGGGTGGGTACCCTGGCTCAGGATTCTCTAATGTCTCCTCAAGCTGCCATTATCCAATTACAATAAACTCATCATTTCTTAGCAGCTGTGGGTTGATCGCTGTCATCCCTGGAGTTTGTGAGAATACAGGCTATTTGCATAACCAACCCAAGGTGGCAAGTTAATTCTCATTTGCTTCCACCATCCCTGAGCTAATTGATTTAAGGCTTGGCAGGCAAGGCAGGCAGCCCCAGGCCTGGGAGACCCACTGGGACCCTCTGGCATACAGGCAGCAGTTCTCAGAGCTCTGGCATTGCCACCCCCTACTCTGAGAACCTGGCTCCAACTTCTTCTCCCAACTGACTCATCTGGCTGAGGGGCACCTCTGGGAGAGCAGGTGCTTCCAGTGGGGTCTCTGTCCACTTCCTCACCTTGCCACTGCCCTGTGCCAGCTAGGCGGGTAGAGCATGGGTGGTGTTGTGAAATCCAGCTCAACTGCCCCCACAGAATCCATTCTCATCCCTTAGCCTCCTGGTCACCAAATCTAACTTCTGAGATAACAGTCTTTCCCTTCCTCCAGCTCACTGGTGATCTTTGGGTGCTAGATCTCAGTTTTCTCATCTAAAAAAGGGGCTAATGGAAAGAGATGAGCCATCATTCTGAAACCTATCTTGGCATTCAGGACCTGGCTCAGTGTGCAGGACCGTGAGTGGGAGGCAGAGCACAGGGTGTGACCTGTGGTTGACGCTCAGCCTCCAACCTTCCCTTTCCCATCCCCGTCCCCTGGCCAGGCCTCCTTGTCCTGCAGCTTCATGGGGTGGGGGACAGCTTTCCCCACTCTGCTTTTGTCCTTTATGTCATAGCAAGCAAGGGCCCCAGAGGGAGGAAGAGCAAGAGGCTACTCAGCTGGTGGGTAGGGGAGGTCCAGGAGGTAAAGAGCTGAAGGGTCCTGGGCACCCCTGGGGATGCAGAGGCCCAGAGGAGGCCAAGGCAATTTCTGTCACCATATGTGAATTTTCCTGGCTTACGCACCTGCGAGGTCCTGGAGAAAGGTGACCTAGCAGGAGGCGGGAACAGAGCCAGGATAATGGGGCCTCTGAAAGTGCCCTGCAGTGCCCTGGGGCCCACAGAAGGAAACACTTCTTGCCTGGTGTCTGCCTCCAGCTTGCTGCATGACCTCGGGCAGGTTACCTCCCCACCTCACTGGTTCAGTGGAGACCAGGCCTCAGTGCCACCCCAACTCTGCCACCATCCGCTCCCCGCCTCAGTTGCCCTCACCTTCCGCTCTGCACTGCTGTTCTTCTTCATCCCTTTAATGAAATCTGTTCTTCCCTTCAAGTGCTGGTCAAACTCTCCCAGCGTCATGTCCCCTTTCTCTATCAGGACATGGGGCATATGGGGCTCTGCAGAGATGAGATCGACTCTCAGCACTTGGCCAGGTATCACAGAAGAAGGATGCTGGAGGCTTTGGTTTAGGTGCAAGATTCTCACAGGGGTGGGACTCCCAGTTGGAAGCAGGGTGGAAGCCCTGGCTGCCTGAAGCAGTGTAGGGCTTGGGAAGACTCCTTAGCTGGGAGGCAGGGGAGCCTAGTGGCCATGGGTGACTCACTGCCCCTCTCTGGGCCTCAGCTGAGCCATCTGTAAAATGGTAGTGGGATGGGGTTAAATGCCTCTCTGATGTTTTCAGGTCCTGACATTCTGTGAATTCTTGAACAGACAAGAATTTCTCCTTGAGGCTACAGAATTTCCAGGGTCTCACTGAACTTTGGTTTTCAAAGATCCCCTGCTCAGCTGGCCTGGGGTAAAGTGTCCTGATGGGTGGATGAGACCCTAGGCCTCTGGAGCTTGAATCAGGGCAGGAGACACTTGATTCCACCAGCTAGAGCCAACTTTCCTGGGAGGAAAGTAGTGGGTCTCCTCTCCTTGGCCACACACCCCCGAGCCTTTCCCTGGTTAGCTAGCTGCTGGGCAGAGGGCCACATGTTCTGTCCCCACAGGCTCAGCACCTCCTCCCTCCCACAGGCAACCCAGGGGCCCGTTGTGGGGCACCGTACCACTGGGGTGGATGAGGATCTCCACAGGCCGGTCAAAGGTGTGCTTGTTGGCCAAGGTGATGATGATGCTCTTGGCCGAGCGGGCAGATGGGGCAGCATCGGCACGAATCTCGTGCGTGGGACTCTCCACCCCTGAGTGGCATAGAAAGGCAAGGGGGATATAGGCTCATGAGGTCAGGAGAGAGAGGAGTTCGCTGGGGCACACCAAGACCCAGGCCAGAGATGAGTGACATGCCAGCCCCATTAGGGGCTCCTGACCTGCAGTATGACCATGGCCAGGCTGCCTCAATTTCTCCACCTGTAAAATGCAGGCTTAGATAGATGGTGTCTGATGGCTTTTCCTGCTCTCAACTCAGGATCTAGTGGGGGTTGGAGGAGTCGCATTCTTATAGGGCACGCACAGCCCCCAGCATGCTGCCAAGCAGATGGCTCTCAGCGCTCTGTCGAAGGGTGCTTTTTTGATGGGTGCTCCATAAACGCACCTCACACTGGAATGCAATGTTGCTCTAGGAGCGCATGCACTGACAAGAAACCATATCCCAGTGTCCTTTTAAGGCTCTGAGTGGTTGTGGGGAGAACCTTCAGAGCAATGGTTCTTAATCCTGGTTGCATGTTAGAATCTTCTGGGGAGCTTTTAAATGTTTCCATGCCGAGAACATACCCCAGAATCTCTGGGAGGTGGGATCTAGGCTGCAGGATGTTCGGGTGTCTCTGGGTGCTTCTGACAAGCAGACAAGGTGAGAACCAGGAAGCAGCTTTACAGCTGTGGCCTCTAGGAGAGGACCAAGGTCCACCATTCCCCATGGATGTTCTCCCGAGGAAGCCACTGGGGTGGAAGTCGGTGGCCTTGAAATCCGTCCTGGGAAGGGACTTATCTTTGGGCTGCTTGTTGGGGCCATGGGGAATGGGGGTCCACAGGCTTTGTGTACTTTTGTTGATCTCCCATCTGGGCCAGCTGGCTTCCCTGCCCACCCCTGTCCCATCCCTGGCAGCCTTTGACTTTTGGCCTGAAGCCCTCCAATCCCGTCTGGACATCTCCCTCTCACCTGCGAGCAGACATGGCCCACGGATCTCCAGCTGGAAGTTGAACTCATACTCCATGGGGTTGGACACATCAGTGTTCAGGAGAGTCGCTAGACACAACTTATTCCAGGAGCCCGAGGCCCAGGCACCAAAGCAGTGCCTGTCTTTGCTGGAAAAGTGCCGGGAGAAGGAAAGGAGACCAGCCAGGGTGGAAGCAGGGGACCAGCGTGAGAAGACAAGGAGAGGACAATGAGTTCCAGGCAACCCAGCCCACCAAGGGGGCCCTCAGACCCGTACTCTCCCACTCAACCTGACCCCAGGGAAAGCCTGGATTCTGACGTAAGGCACAGCCACCTCCAAGGAGCACCCACGCTGGACCAGGCATCAGGCACGGTGCTCCCTAGGGGTAGCTCACGTCGTTCTCACCACAGCTCTGGGAAGATGTCAGAGTCTCTGCAGGGAAACTGAAGCTCAGTGTGATGAGGTGACTGGCTCAACTTCCCACTATTAAGAACTAGCAAAGTCCTGGCCCAGATCTCCTAGCCTAGGTCTGTCTGGCTCCATGGTGAAACGGTTTGTACTGCGTCACACCATGTCTTGAATCTCTGTCTTTGTGAGCTGCAAGCCTTGCGAGTCATTTCTCCTCTAAGTGTTTGTTTTCCCATCCTTTAAATGGGCACAATACTTTGCAGTTGCTTTGAGGACTCCAGGAGCAACTACTTAGCCAAGTGTCTGTCACCTGCTGAATGCTCACGTTTCGGGGCCCTCTTTCTTTGCGATCTCCACCCCATCTCCCATCCTGTGCTGTCTCCACAGGCACACCCCCTAAGGCTTTTAATCTATGTCCTTCCATATGCACACATCCTTGTAAAATACGGGGCAGCATTTGGGTGTGATTGTGCTTTAAGCTGACAAGATCGCCTTATATTATGAATCTCATTCGATCTCTTACTTTTTTTTTTTTGGCACAATGTTATGTCTTAAAACTCTGCCCAGGAGGCTGCAAACCCAAGTCCTCGCTGCTAACTTGATATCACTTGGGGGCATCCGTTACATTGTACTTGTTGTTCCCAGCTCGGCCTCCCCACATCCACAAATAACGCCACCATGAATATCCCTGTCTGTGTTCCCTTTGGACTTGTGAAATAATTTCTTCATGATCCCCGGGGGAAAGGGCACACTGAGGATTGCCAGATTGCTTTCCTGGGTGGCTGTCCCCATTCCTAATTCCATTAGCAGTGAACAAGCCTTCCCCTTCTCCTCACTAACACTTGGTGTCATCTGGTTTTTGGATTTTGTCTTATGTCACTCTATCTGAGCTCCTTTGAGATTCACAGGGGGTTGAGGCAGTCTTTTTCCAAGAATGTCACTCTTAACTCTGCCTGCTAGAATGGGCAGAAATAAGCGTATTAGCACCCGCTCAGTGGTATCAGGGCCTCCTGGCCTCTTGTTCCCTGACCCACTGAGGTCCCAAATGTCCCAGCTAGGCCCTGCCTCTCAAATGCACAAGACTCATCGTCACCGGCAACACTTACAAAGACAACACACAGGCTGGTGCTCTTTGGTCTAAGACTGGCTTATGCCACCAGCTTCTCTGTTGTGCCAAGTGTCGTCCTTCAAGACCATGCACGATCCCACTCATCACCACCGATCTGACCTCTCTCCTTTCCTGTCTCATTCTGCAATAGCCACACTAGCATTTCTGCTGCTGCCGTGACACATGGCACCTGCTGCTGCCTCTGGGCCTCTGCACTTGTGACTCTCCCTGCGCAAAATATTCCCTCTAGTATATGTTCATGGCTTGTCCCCTTCATTCAGGTCAGGCCACAAATGATGCCTAGTTCTTGTTTGTTGGAGCTAAAATGGCACTTGTCCCACTCTGTCCCCTTCCGTCCCCTACAGCACTTATTTTCATAGAAAATGATCTCAGCTGTAAGTGCCTTAGACTGTGACCCACCTCATTTTCCCTTCATACCACGAGGGGAGGACAGAGAAACTGTCCAGGTACGGGCTTGTCATGTTGCTCTCCCCATCCTGTTGAAAATCCTCTTAATGGCTCCTTGTTGCTTTTGGAGAAACAATCTTAGCCAGGGCCAAAGGGTGTCCGATGCCTCTGCAGCCTCATCTTGTGCCACCTGTGCTTCTGTTCCTCTCCAGTGCCCTGTCCTTGCTACCCCAGGGCCTTTGTCCCTGCTGCTGTCACCTACGGGAATGCTCCTCTCTGCACCTACATCCTCCTCATCGTTCAGTTCTTAGCTGAAACATCACTCCTCAGAGAAGCCTGGCCCGGCCCTTGACCCCCCAGGTTGGGTCCCTCTTTTATACTCTTAGCCCAATGAACTTCTCCTTCCTTGTACTTTTCAGTCAATAATGCATTCCAGTATACAATGAGTCACATAATTAGTTGTGTTATTTGTTGGATAATGGTCTTCCACTAAGTTCCAAAATGTCAGGAAACATACTGGTTTTTCTCCTTCTCTATCCCTAACAACCAGCCCAGTGTCTGGCACATCATAGGTGATCAGAAAGTACCTCTTGAGTAAAGTTATGAAATTTGGACAGCTTGGAAATGCTGATTCCAAGCTGTCCAAATTTCATAACTTCTGGCCAGTACCATTACAGGGCATTTCAGAGATGCTTTTAAGTGCTCTAAAAGTGAGCAGGGGAGAAGCAAATGGCTCAGAGGGTGGCAACCGTACAGCAGAGCCTCCCCATCTCCTCCCTGTCTCCCCCACCCCATCCCCTACTAATGTCACCTGATGCACGCTCTGTTGCCCACCTGGGACTCTGATTGGTCTGGGCAGGGCTTCCTTACCCCTGGGCCTGTTGGTTGGAGGTGCCAGTGCTCTTGGTGCAGAACTGGGGCACGGTTGGGGCACAGACAGCAGGCAGAAGGACCCTCACAGCCCCACTGGGCAGCGTCGGGAGCTCCGAGGAGGTGCTGATGAAGATGGCGACGTTCTCCATGGGGGCAATGGTCCCCAGGTTGGCCACAAACAGGATCCGCTCCAAATCCTCATCCAAGGTCACCTTTCCCGGTGTGCAGGAACGAGGGGCGATGGAAACCCCCTCTTGCAGAACGTTCCCTAAGTGCCAGGCTGGCGTCAGGGGCTGTACATAGATTATCTCTGATCCCCTCTAAGATTGCTCTTGTGGTAAGTGAGTGGCCCCATTTTGCTGATGGGAAAATCAAGGCTCAGCTTGAGGGTGTGTGTTGTGAATAAGTAACCTGTTAAACCAGGATCTGAACCCCCATGTGTCTGACTCTAGGCCTGTGAACTTTCCACTCGACCTTGCTGGGGGTGGAAAACTTGGACTCACAAAACCCCAACAGAGGGTCACATCTTCATCCCCTAAATTCTACTTCCCAACCCAAGAACCAAATAAAAGCATCCCCCGCCCTTGGGGATCCATACTTTTGCTCATGCTCTTTCCTTTTATCAAAACACCCATTTCTTCGTCCCTGCTTACCCAGTCTACCCACCCACCCAACCCCTCCATGAACACCTTCCTGGTCCCTGATCTAGGCTGGTCTTTTTCTCTAACATCATCACAACCTCTTTTGACACAGTCACTTTCCACCCCCTGTTCCCATCATGGTTACTCCTAGACAGATCCTAACTAACCTTTTGGACTGTGATAAATCATAACAACTCAGGGACAACTTTGCACCTTATACAGGATGAGTGTTCATTGAACATTTTAATAACCACTTGAACAAACTTCACCTTGATCGTAGATCCAACAGTAAGAATCTCTTACATTGTATTATACCTGGTCTATGTTCTTGCCCTGGCTCTTCCACCAGCATGCTGTGTGATGTGCTGCCTAAAAGGCACTAACAGCTGCCTTTCACTGACCTTGAGCCAGTTGCTCTTCCTCTCTGAGCCTCAGTTTCCTCAGTAGCAGGCATTAGTAGCCACGCTTTGAGTATTTACTGTGATGTGAGTCCTCTGCCTGCATTATCCTGGTTGAGTATCGGGTGAGGACAGCTATTTATTCCATTTTAAAGAGGGGGTTAATTTTTTCTCTAAGCTCACATTTGTAAGCAACAGGAAAGGGAGTCGAATCCTGGTGTGACTTGTCTCACAGCCTCTGAAATTAAAAGATGTGTTATTCTGTTTCTCTAGAGAGACCTTTAAAATCCTTTTGTTACCTTCCTTCCTTTGATCCTCACACACTTTCGAGTGACAACAGAAAGTCAATTACCTCTGTCTTACAGACAGTGAAGCTGAGGTTCAGAGAAGTTAACTATTGGCCCAAAGTGGCACAGGATTCCATCCAGGATCCCTGACTAGTTCAGTGCTCTTTCTCTCTCATGTTCTGCTGCTATCCTTGCAGTCAGCCTGAGGCTCCAGCCTAGGCAGCCTCTGGCTGGCCCAACCCAGGTCCCGCTGCAGCCCTTCTGGTCTCCTTACCTGTGACTGTTGGGGATCGAACATGGGAGGCATCAAAGTGGCCGCTCTCCAGCTTGGCTTTGTCCTTGATCTGTACCGTCACGACACGGTCGGCAATGACTGCCTCAAAGCCGATCACCGTGGTGCACTCATCCAGGGGGTACACGAAGAGGCCTGTCAGAGCAGGGCCCAGCATCGCGAGGTGCCCCAGGCCCACCCTGCACACCCCTTGCCTGGAAGGAACCTGAATCCTTGGCCTGCTGGTTGGGTGGTGCCCACTGCCACTCAGCGGATGCCCAGAGGCCTCGGCAGCAAGCCAGCTCTGGGACCAGGTGGGTAAGTGCAGCGCCAGGGCCAGCTCTTATTTTGCAGGTGTGTGAGCCTGGTGTGGCCAGAACTTCTGATTTTCCAAGAGAGTGAAAACATGGGTTTTTATGGGACTTGTGTGCGCCTCATAAAGCACATCTGTGTGGTCAGTTTTGTCCATGGACCACAAGTTTGCCACCTGTGGCATGGAAGATTGGGGCTTTGGAGGAAGACTAGGGTTCTAATCCAGGCTCCGTCATGTTTCCTAGCCAGGTGACCTTGGATAAGACACTTAGCTTCTCTAGGCCTCCTAGCACCACCTGTAAGATGGCGATAATGAAGCCTATTCCCAGGGTCGTAGTGAGAACTAAAAAAAATAGGCATCAATTATGAAGCCACGTGCCACACATTATTATATCTTAGTGCTTCTCAAACTTTAGAAGCTCACAAGTGACCTGGGGTCTTGTTAAAATCTAGATTTGGATTCAGTAGCTCTGGGGTGGGGCCAGAAATCCTGCCGTTCTGAAGCAGCTTGTGAGTAATGCTGGCGGCTGGGGATCACGTTGACAGTGTTAAGGTCTTGTTTTATCTACCCTCTTAATATCGGGACAGCACAATGCTGGGTCCAGGGTGAGCCCCCCACAAACCCCGACCTCCGCTCCCTCTGGGGCTCAGTTTCCTCATCTGTAAAGTGGGGGGACTTGTGCCTTCTGCATGTGGAAAGCCAAAGGGCTGTTGGAAGTAGTTTGGGTATTTAGCTCCCTGAGTCTGCAGGTGGATCCTAATTTAAGTCGCCCTCTCTAGGTTTCCTTGAACACAGGAACAGGGCCATTTGCCCTGTCCGGGAAATTTCTAAGGGGAAGAAAGTTTCCCTGCGGCTCCCTTGGGTAGTGTTGGTCCCCAGGGCAGCCCTGCAGGGGTTTCAGAATCTCAGGTGGGGCTGAGGTTTTGTCACCAAAGGTTGGTGACCACAGACACGAAGTTTGGTGGCTAGGAGGCCCCATCACTGCGGATAGGAAGGGAATCCTGGCCGGTGCCCTCCTGGCCTTCCCACAACTCCCCTCCTGAAGTGGAAGGAGAGGAGTTTGATTTACAAATGACTCTGGCAGGCCAGTGTGCCTCCATACCCCTGACTGTGGTTCATATTCACAGATGGTTTCTCAGTCCACAAAGTCCTGCCTACTGTGTTACCTCATCGGCTCCGCCACGACCCAGGGCATCTGGACAGTGGGGAGGAACATCCTGATTTTGAGGTGGTGGCAGCTTCCCCAGGGTCATAGGAGCAAGAACCATGGCTAGGAGTGGAGGCTCCTGGCTTTGACTGAGTCTTGATGCCTCTCCTCTTGTGAAGCCCCCTGGAGAAAGTGTGGGACTGACCAGTGGACAGTGTGCCTTGTGGGCTGTAAAGTGCAGGGACAGTCTGGCACTGTGGCTCAAGCCTGTAATCCCAGCACTTTGGGAGGCTGAGGCGGGTGGATTGCTTGAACTCAGAAGTTCGAGAGCAGAGTGGGCAACATGGCAAAACCCAGTCTCTACAAAAAATACAAAAATTAGTTGAGTGAGGTGGCACATGCCTGTAGTCTCAGCTACTTGGGAGGCTGAGGTGGGAGGATTTCCTGAGCCCGGGAGGTGGAGGCTGCAGTGAGCCGTGATCGCACCACTACGTTCAAACCTGGGCAACAGAATGAGACCCTGTCTCAAAGAAAAAGAAAAGTGTGGGGATAGTTGGCTGGGGCTGAACCCAAACTTCTTCAGCTCAAATCCTGACCCTCCTTGCTATTAGCTTTGGGGCCTGCAAAGCAGAAATAGTCTCACCGTTTTACAGATGAGGAAACAGACTCGGAGGGGTGGCGTGACTCGCCTAAGGTCAGTTAGCAAGTAAATGTCAAGACAGGGATTCAATATGGAGGAGGCAGTGGTCCCGGGGAGCCGGGGAGGCCCCAGCAGGTGTCCTTACCCTGGAAGGGCTGGGCTTCCAAGTTGCCATAGGTGAGGGAGGCAGTTAGGCCCAGGGCATAACCACTGACACAGGAGGTAACGTCAGACGCCGTGAGGGGCAGGGCTGCCCCCGTGATCCAATTCAGCAAGCCAGGCATCCCGCTGGCTACTCAGCCTTCAGAACCTGCAAGACAAGGAAGGGCAGGAAGTGGGGAGAGGCTCCCCCAAGTCCCCCCAACCTAGATTTCCCATTTCAGACAACCCCAACCAATCAAAGCAGCATTGTTTTCATTTTCCCCAAGAACTTCCTAGTTCCTGGGAAGGAAGTGACCGCAGGATAACTACCATTCTTCCCTGAGAAGAGGAGAAGTGGCCATTCTCTTCCTTTCATTTCACAGGTAGAGAACCTGAGGCTTGAAAGCATGTGACCTGTTGGGATTCACTCAAATGGTTGGAGCACAGTCAGGGCTAGAGTCCAGGTAGCCTCACGTTCAGCCTGGAATTCTCCCAACAGACCATGTGGGGAAGGCAGTCGAGGGGCTCAGACTCTGACCCCATCCTCTGTGTGTCCTGTAATCCCTAAGCCTCAGATGTTGCCTCTGCAGAATGAGGACATTGGAATAGCTCACCACGTCCTTCCTTCTCTGACTTCAGTGAGCCTGCTCACTGCAGTGAACACTTGGTATGTGAGGGCCACCCCCAATAGTCACCAAAGTAAGGGGAGCCACATTCTTCCAGGTGTAGAGGCCAAAACCTGGGAGTCATTCCTGCACCTCCTTCCCACCTCCCCACCCCAACACACACACACAGACAATCCATCGCCAAGACCCATGTGTCATCTCTGGAAAAACCCTTGTATCCATCCACATCCTCCCTTCGCAGCCACCAGCACCTTGTCCCAGGCCACCACCACCTCCACGTGGACTGCAGCTCCTGATCTGCCTCTTGAATCTACTCTTGCCCAAGAATCCATTTTGCACCCACTCACCAGAACAAACATTCTGGACACATAAACAGGACAGGTCTCTGCTACCCCACTTCCCTCTTGTACTCACCAATGAGTTCCCTTGCTCCTTGGACAGAGAACCAAAGTTTAAGGTGGCCTGGGACTCTATGGGGTTGGGCCCCTGCTGGCCTCCCCAGCCCAGCATCCCCACGGTCCCCAAACACACCCTGTGGGTCTCAGCAGTTTCCACTCCGGACACGTGTCCTGCTCCTTCCATCCCTGTGCTTGCTGCTCCTCCCAGAAGGCCCACCCCACCCCCATTTTTAAACTAGTAACCCCCTACTCATCTTTCGTGGTCAACTCGGGTTCCCTCCGCAGGGAGGCCAGACCAGTGTGCCCAACATCCTCTGTCATCCCCGCACAGAGCTGAGTTTCTCTTCCCAGGAGTATCTCTAACCATTTGTTGTGCTGCGTTCTGTTTCTGAGTGACGTCTGTTACTCTCTGTTTCCCGTTTGAGCATAGGCGCTATATACATGGGCATGGGCCACATCGACTTTGGTTTCACTACCTGCTTTATGTTGATTGAATGAAGAAGAGAATGCATGGCTTTCATCCTTGCAGCATGAAGGCCTCCACAGCATTTCTCAGGACCGTGTCTCAATGATCTAGGGCCTCCCAAGACCCCCGCCCAAGTAATCACATGCCTTGAAGAAGTAGGGTGGGAATGGAAAGCAAAGTCAAATGAAGGGTGTGGAGTAGAAGTTTGAGGTCAGATTCCCTCTGGGTTTTCCTGTCTGTGGGGTCGGTGCCAGGCAAAGCTTCCCTGGGCTGGTAGCCTGCTGCCCTTTATTTGCAAGGCTATTCAATGAGTGCTGAGTACCCTGCTCTTTCTCAAAGAAGGGACTGTTTCTCCTGGGTCCTCTCCATGTCCCCAGTTGAGATCCTCAGGTGCTCCCCCACACCCCGGCACCCCGCCAGGCCAGCAGTGGCTTTTTAATTATGTTCTCCCTCTGGGCTCAGGCCCAGCCAGCTCTGGGCTTATCTCCTGTCGGGCTGACTGACAGCAGCAGGCAGATAAAGAGCCGGGAGGGAGCTGCTGTCTCCCCAAGTGGCCTTCTCTTAGGAGATCTCTCTCCTGGTGGCCAGAGCAAAGCCTGGCAAAGCCTGGCAACTTCAAGGGGGTGGGGAGGCAGGGGGCAAGGGGGTGGAGAGGCAGCCTTCATTTCCTGACAGAGCCACGTCTCCCCCTCCCAACGTTCTCTCTCTCCCACCACCCCCGCCCGCATCCTGGTTTGCTCCTGCCTGGAATACTGATTGGGGAATGCAGCCTTAGGGAGCCAGCACCCAGACATGCATTGAACCCAGGCCTCAGCTCCAGTCCACCTTGGGGTGAGGTTCTGCCAAAGGCATCTTATCCAACCCAGTCTACCCACACTGTCCCTGGCCCAGGGAGTGGGGCTTAGATGAGGGACATCTGATAACAGACGGCAGACTCCCTCAGCGTTGACCCTTTAGGAATGTCATGCAGCCATAAAAAAGAAGAAAACCATGTCCTTTGCAGCAACACCGGTGCAGCTGGAGGCCATTAGCCTAAGCGAATAATGCAGGAACAGAAAACCAAAAACCCCATGTTCTCACTTGAAAGTGGGAGCTTAACATTGTACACTCGTGGACATAAAGATGACAGTAGTAGACACTCGAGATTACTGGTGGGGGAGGGAAGGAGTGGGGAAAAGGGTTGAAAAACTAACTGTTGGGTACGGTGCTAACTACCTGGGTGACGGGATCAGTCATACCTCAAAACTCACCATCATGCAATATATCCATGTAACAAACCTGTATATGTAGCCCCTCAATCTAAAATAAAAGTTGAAATTATTTTAAAAAACCATACACACACACACACGCAAATAAAAAACCAAAATCTATATTATGGAAAAAAAGAATGTCAGAACCCCTTGGAAAGAATAAACTTTAAATCCTGTGGGGGCCTGGTAAATGCCTATTTTTTATCAATTCATCCAGCATTGATAAGCACCTACTGTATTCCAGGCTCTGAATTAGCCACTGTCTATATAAGGATGAGACCCAATCCAAATGGCAAGGAGTTTATAATGTGGCAACAGAGGAAATGTGGGAGTGGGGGAAGGTCATAGCGATGACAGCTGGAATTTATTAAACATTGAAAATGTGCCAGGCACATATATTATCTCATTTAATCCTCATAAAACCTTCTAAGGTATTATTCTTCTGCAGATGAGGACGGTGAGGCCTCAAGGGAGTGTGCTGGCTTTGGATGTGGGTTTGGGGTACCTCAAGGGCACACAAGTAAATGGGTACACGTGTAGGACTTTCTCCTCGGAGGGGCCCAGGGCCATCCCCATGAGAGATGGGGACCATAAGGACCAGAATAGATTATCTGAGTGTCTTCCCTTCCAGCTCTGTCCCAACCTGGGCCTCAGATGGGTGTGGGCCACAGGAATCACCCAGGGACAGGGACAAGGCCATGGCATCTGCGGTTCAGAGTGTGGGAAGCCAGGGTTCAGTCTTAGGAATGTTGTCTGGTGTGAGTGGGGCTTGTCAAGTGTGTGAGGGTCAACACTGTGTTTACCTTCCCCACCTCCTTCCTCAGTGTGCCACACAACATGTCTTTGCCCAGTTCCTTCACTTTTGGGATGCTGCGTCTGGAAAAGAGCTGGTGAGGTGAGAGAAACCAGAAAGGGATTGAGTGGAGCTGGCAGAAAGGGCCAGGGGAGAAGAGGGAGGGAGGACTTAAAGAACAAGGGAGGGAGGACAGGGGAGGGCAGGAAAAAAGGATTTTTAAGAATGAGTGCCCAGAGTTATAACTTGGATCCCCTCTCATATTCTCTAAGAGGCACATAGAAAGATTGGAATGATTTGAGGCTCTGGACAGTGTTTTCCTGATGAAACGCTGGGCCAAACCTGGACACTAAGAGTTCTATATGGCTTAGAGGAGGTTCTTGGTGTGCCTGTTAAATGTCAACACTTTTGTGATGGCCTAGAGATGATAAATCCCAAATAGTTGCTGTCCTTCTGGGCAGGACATTATTCATATTTATGCCTGGCACATAATAGGTGCTCAATAAATATTTCTAAAGTGAAATGAATGAATGAGTTCCAGCAGCCTCCCAAGGACTCTGAAGGACACTAGGTGCTGGGGATACAGTGGGAACAGGCAGGCGTGAGTGGAGATACTAATGGAAGAGACAGACAGTAAATAAAGCTGGAAGTTCACAATCCAGCCTGTTCTTGTCATCCCCACTGCAGCAGCCACATTGTCCCCTTACTGTGTTTTCCCAGTGGAGCAGTCAGAGTCGTCCTTTGAAGACAAAGTTGTGTGACTCCATGACTCAGACTTTCTGATGGCTCCCATGTCCCTCAAGCCCCCATCAATCTAAGCCCCTGCTGTTTTCCCTTCTGACCACCTGCTTAATGGATTCACTCCAGCCTCTAGACATGCACGTGCTCGTGGCTCGCTTCCTCACCCCTTCACGTCTGCTCAGATGGCACCTTCTTAGGAAGGGCCCTGAAAACCTGCTTTAAACTTGCACCCCTCCCCTGCTTTCCTTCAGATCTCTCATCCTGCTCTGTTTGGGTATTTTCCATAGCATGTCTCTCCAACATATTACATAGAAAACTTTTATTGCATTTATTGCTTTTCATCTGCTTCCTTCCACAAGGGTGGTGATTGGAGCCTGTTTTTCTCATTGATGCATCCTAAGTACCTTGAGCTCTGTTTGCCCTCATAGAAAGGGATGAAAAATATTTGTTCAATGAATGCATGGATCCATATGTTATCACAATGTCAGGCTGGTCGTTTCTGGGTTTTGCATGGGTTCAGCTCAGGGAGAGATATCCTCTGGCCACCAGGTCAGGGGCAGCTCCACAGAGAAGCTACGGACGTTTAATCTGTTAGGCTCTCATTCCAGTCTTTATGTACCATGGTCCAAACCCACCCTCCCTGCCCACCATAGATGCCACCCATCTTGTAACAGACCATCAACCCACTGAGGAAGCTCTGTAATTCTGTGCCCCTGAGCCAGCTCCTCGCCACTGCCCACCGCCCACCTCTCCAAACCTTCCCTTGTGTCCTCTGCAGCTGTCCCTGCATGGCCTGCAAAATACCCCAGATCCTGTGCCTCTCCTGAGACGCTCTGTGTCCTGGGTCCCTGTTGCTGCCTGTGCCAAGACTGTCACTCTTCTGTCCTCCAGTCAA